TTATAGTTTCATCCCTCGAGTAGCTTGCTAAGAAATTTTTTTTTTGCGAGACGAACGCTCTTTGAAATAATTTGAATTATTTCAAAATTTTATTGCTTGAATAGTTCGCTTTGAAAAATTTCCGTTTTTCTGCTTGCCGATTCGCTCTGTAAAATAACTTGAAATCTTTCAAAATTCCATCCCTTTAGTAGCTTGCCGGATAATTGACATTTTTTCGTGATTAGTAACGCGGAAGTACTTCAAAGTTCTATCGCCTGAAAAGCTCGCTCAGAAAAACTTAAATTTTTCGCGAACGTATTCGTTCTATGTAGTTTTATCGCTTTATTAGAATGCTTTAAAAAAAAAACTTAGTTTTTTTGCGAACGGAAAAACGTAACTTTCGACACGTATTGCATGATTAGCTGGCTTAGGAAATCTTTAAATTTGGGAATCGATTCATGGAATGAAGTATTTTTAAAAGTAACATCACATTGCTTGACTGCGTGCTTCCGAAAAACTTTTATGAAACAGTTCAAGCAGGGGTGGATCTAGGATTTTCTCGAGGGGGGATTTCCAAAAATTGTCAAAATTTTTGTCGACCTTTTTTTTAGGTCGTCCAAATTGATTTTTCGAGCTCTCCCAATGCACTTTAAAGACCCTGTTTTGGCCAAGTTTTCTGCGTTGAAGACAAACTTTTGAAAAAACTGGCCAAAAAGGCGGTAATAGCACTGTTAAGAAATTTTGACCAAAAATTGTCCCCGCAAAATTAGTAAATATTGGTGCCGATGGCGCCTTTAGAATTTTTTTTTATCCGTCAGCCAGAATAAATATCTAAAAATAGTACAAAGGGGGTTCATTTTGGGTCGGCACAGGGATGAATTTCTTGGGGGGAGAAAAGGGGATGGAGGAAAAGGCGTCTGCCTCTCCCAATAAATCCGCCTTCTCCAGCGATCCTTTTTCGTCAATTTGAAATAATGAGCGCGCGATATGTTTTGTTCTGTCAGTTAACGCGTAAGTGGCAAACTAACCCGGCTCAGAAACTATTTTATGTGGCCCAGTTAAGATTTACTGAATGCAAAGTTTATCAAATTATACTGTGCATTTTTGTGAGGGAAAATTTTCCAAATCAGAAAAAAATAATCGAAAATTGTTCATTTTCTTTTTTTAAATCAAAATCTACTTAAAAGGCATTAAAAGGCAGCCATTAAATCATTCATCATTTTGCTCTGATACGAGCAGTCGGCTCTTTAATTGCCCCTTTATTGACCCCCATTCCATAACCTCCCACCAAAAATGGATTTTATGAGAGCAGTTATATTTTCGAGGAAGACCACCTGGATTTTGAATTGAGTAATCAGCATGCATGCTAACTTTTATACAAATCGGATAGTATAAACATACTGTTCATATAGGTTTCGCAATAAATTTTTATATCATCTGAAAGATATTGATGTCTTGAGACCAGAAATAAAATTTTACATCTTTTCAATGTTCACAAATTTACGTGGAATGAATTATTGCGCGCTTTGGTTTGCAACTTTCTCTCATTATTCAAAGAAGTTAATCCGAAGCGAGTTAAGGAAAGCTATTGAGCCATAGAAGGCAGTTATTTAAAGGCAAAAACAGTCTTGTTATTACCAGGAGTCGGATTTATATGTCAAATAAAATCAGATATATGTCAATCTAAGCAGGAGCGGATCTAGGATTTTCTCGAGAGGGGATGGTCAATTTTTAAAAAATTTTCGAAAATTTTGTCGACCTTTTTTTTGGTCGACTACATTGATTTTCCGAGCTCTGCCAAAGCAAAGCACTAAAAAGACCCTGTTTTCACCAAATTTTCTGCGCCGCTGGCAAAATTTGGAAAAATAACAGGCCAAAAAATGCTATCACCTGATACATCGCTTAATTGTGTCATCCGATTGATGCTATCCCAAATACGTCAATGTCGTATGTTTTTTATTCCGAGGTCCAAACGCGTCTCCTAGGGCGAGCGCCCCCAAAGCCATTGACAGTCATTTTTGTGATTTTAGGGGAGATTTTGGGAAGGGAGAAAAGCACGTATGAAAAGATAAGTCTCGCGAACATACCTTCTCTACTAAGTGTTATTCTCGAGGTGCCTGTTGACGTGCAATTCCACCGGAAATTCATCAACGAAACATTCGCGGAGAAAAGTACGACGAAATCTATTCCGCCCGAATACGATTCTTATTTCAAACCGTACATGCAAGGAAGTTCTGCGGATGTTTATGGTAATAATTTCTTCATTTGTGCTCCGAGTATTTCGAAAACTGACGAGAATAAGGAAAATTTGCCCAATACGAGCGCTTCACACTCCATTGCGAAAAATCGAAAGCCGAATTTACAGTTTCAGTTGTAGTTTATTGTGTTACGTGAATTTGATTGTGGCAGTTGTTTTAATTTCATTGTTTTAGTGACTTAAAATGTAAATAGGTGACTCAAGATAAAGGAAGTAAACGCTTCCTATTTGTACTTTAACTTTTGATAATTGTTGAAGCAACTATCTTCAATATTGGTTGCGAAGTTACAGAAATAGTAAATGGATGAATCGGTCTCGATTTGGTTCAAAGTAGCTTTAATTCTATCACTTAATTCGAATCTCTACATGGTGCTAAATTGACAAGAATTTATTTTTAGATGATTTATTTTTTTTGTTAGAAATAGGTAAAAAGTGAATTGCTTGATTTGTAGCGGCTCGAGCGTAATAGGGCGGGGGGGGGGGGGGAGGGACATTAGAAGAGCCTTTGGAATATGTACGTATAACAAGTCCTTAAGGCGTAGAACAGCTCATTACAGAGCTCCTTTTGGCAGCATCATTAGAAAGTATTATCAAACGTGGGCCCTTATGTACATGAGTAATTTTCTCGAAGCATGAATTGAAGTATGATTTTTAAAAAAATTGTCTACACAAAAGCCAAAGTTAACTTGGAAGCGTTATTCAATTTTTCGCATGGTTCTTCCACAAAAGGAAATCCTCTTGAAGCTCTCTTTAAAACCAACACATTTTTAATAAGTGCTTTCAAAGAGACCAAGTGCTTTCAACACATTTTTAATTTTGAAAGTTCCCCTTTCCTGCTCTACACAACAATTATGATTTATTTAAAAGCCTATCATCAAAATTAATTCCGTTCTACGAAATAGTTAGTTACAAAGATCTTTCCTGTGTTCCAACTTTCGAAGAAAGTGACAGATTATTTGTTCTCGGGTGGTTTTTTCTTCAAATAAATTTACGGTTTTTCATTGAAGTATTTCAACGGAACATTTGTATGCTATCTGAAAGATATGGCTGCCCTTAAGTCAGGTTTAAATAGATTTTTCATTTGTGATCATTTTTTATATCGGTTGCTGTTATAGTGGTTTGATCATGGGACTGGCTTGACAAAGAAGTTATCATATTTCTCTGATTTTTTAAAGTCGACGAACGAATACTGTTATTCTCAAGCGTTATTTAATTTAAGGCAAGTAGATTACCAATTTTCCAAATAAGATTGTTTTCGATTTGGAAAGTTGCTACCTCTATTTTTCCAATTTTGCTCTCCATGAATTTCATGTAGTACTTGTGTCGAAGAAGAAGAAGAATTTATTTCTCATTGTTGGTGGTAAATATGCATATAACAAAAACTTTCACATGGAGCACCACAGACAGTGAGTGGACAGTTAACGAACCCATGTGGGTTACAAAGCAATGCCAGTTTCATCAAATGAAATACGAAATTTGAGATCTTCAAAGACAGTGAAAAAGATATTTGTTAAATTTTGATTTATGACATTGTCTAGACAGGTTAATGACATAAGGTCCGACCTCTCTGGATCAATATTTAAAATGATTGATCAATCGTTATCGGTAAAAAACCAAATTGAATTTAACAAATTTTAAATTCATCTACCCCAAAATTTCTGAAACTCGCTAGTCGTAGGCACTCCTATTCGATTTCAGAAACAAAAGTTGAGTTTGTTCACTTTACGGTTATTGTGTGTACTAACTGTGTCCCATCTCTTGAAGCCTCTAATATCAGTAGAACTGATTGGGGCTAAATGGTCAGTAGACACATAACAGCATATTCGGCAGTAACCAGCAAACAAGCCCTGGTGTGGTTTTCAAAACGCCGAAGAGGCTTCGAAAACCGGATACAATTTTTTAAACAATTTTAAACTTGCAGGCTCTTCACATCTGTTATTTTCTGGCACTATCTTTGCTTTTAGTTGAAATATGTCAGCAAAAAACAAATTTGATCAGCTCTTTCTTGCTAAATCATGAATTCCGTGGACAAGGCGTTGAACATCTGAATCGGAATTTTGATCAAAAACTTTCGGGATTAAGGAATTTTGTCTAAGTTAATTAAAGAGCTTAGCTCCTCTGTAACTAAGTGAAGTTCTTTGAATTATGCTTTTGGAATTGGGAGTTTTCATCAAATTGAAAGTTTCGCAAATGGTGGAAAACTCAGCTTTGCCTCTTTGTGTGATTTGGTTTATTGGATATTCGGAAAATTTAAAAATTGAAACTTGTTGGTAGTCTGCAATATCACCAAGTAATTTTTTCCGGTGTTCACATGTAGCAATTTTACTACTATATATTTTACTTCTTTTACGCACAAGGTGTCTGCCTTGCTGACAAAAAGCATTTTTAGTGGTAGATTGAAGCAATATTTCTGAGAATTGGGTTAATTTTTCTGAGAATTGGGATTGTTTAAATTTTCAATTTCTAGCAAACAATTTTGTTCTTCAAGTTTTCTACGTGTTACTTGCACAATAACTGCATGCTATTTTGAAAGAAATTAAATTGTGTCGTCAATACTTAATTTAGTGAGCAATTTGAGTCATTTCTTTTAACGTCTCTAAGAACTGTTGTACTTTCAAAAATCTTGTTTTAGTTGGTGTTAGTATTACAGTGTAGTGTCTATGTTAAGCATTATCTAGCCCTTTCATTTTTGAGCAATACCATTTTTCTATTTATATTGAAGTTAACTGATAAATAATCTCGTTGTTATTTTTATTGCAGTTTGTTATGGACCTTTTTGCGTGTTCGGGAGAGGTCAGTCCAGCGACGCTAGTATGGAGTGAAATATTCCACAACAGCAAGGCTGGACCCTCAATCAAAAACGTGTCCAGCGCGCCGGTTCTATCTGCCGTGCACAACACTATGCTTAGTCCTCACCACCAGGCTCAGAACTCATCCAATGAGAACGAGGCTGCGAATTTGGACCAATCACAATCGAGTTTGAACGAACATGACGAGGAAGAAAACGCTGATTCGTCCTTCACTGGAAACAATTCCGCTTTCGCCTCCGATAACGTTCTATTGACTTTGGGCAGCAAAAGTGACAGGACTGATAAAAGTGAGAGTTTAGTATCCGAAGACTTCATGTCCCATGAAAACGCGCCAAAAGCAAAACGGGTTTCAAGCAAGAACCACAGCTCGAACAACAGCAGCTATAGCGGGTCTAAAGCTGCCAACGGAATCGGACCGTCTAGGTCTTTTACTCAAGGAATGGTCAAGGACGATCTAGATCTGATGATGAAAAACAAACCATCGCATCGCGATTACAGAGGTAACCTGGACCTTATGAACGGAAATTTGACCGTGTCACAAATATTGAGTGAAAGTGGTTCAACGAATAAATCAATAGATCGAGGCCAACAAGGGATGTTCAGAATATCACCGGCGGCAAAAGAGGAAAGAGTTTTCACCAAGACTCCTTGGATTCAAGATGGCAAAACGTACCCGGCGACGGTTGTCGGGCTACATGACGAGATTCACGACTTTTTCAACTGGATTTGTCCGACGGAAGCGGAATGCACAATGCGTAGCGAGGTAGTTAAACGGGTTCGAAATGCGGTTAACAAAGTCTGGCCGTTGGGTATTGTGGAGGTATACGGAAGTTATAAATCGGGACTATATTTACCAACAAGTGACATTGATTTGAGTATAATGGTGAATCAAGTAAGTGCTCAGGATATAGCCAAGTGGTTATCTTTACTTGAGCGACAATTGAAAGCAGATAATGTATGCAGTGAAAATGGGGCCAAAGTTTTGCCACACGCGGTGGTTCCGATAATTAAGTTGACCGACCGAATTACAAATGTGAGGGTCGATATCAGTGTTAATATAGTTAACGCGGTAAACAGCGCGAGATTGGTAAGTGAATACATCCGGAAATTTCCACCTTTGCCGCATTTGGTTTTGGTTTTGAAGCAATTTCTTCTTCAACGGGATTTGAACGAAGTCTACCAAGGTGGTCTAAGTTCGTACAGTTTAATTCTGATGGTCGTCAGTTTTCTGCAACTACATCCGCGAGCTGAAGGTTGCAAAAGTGCGGATGTGAATTATGGGGTCTTGCTGATTGAGTTTTTTGAGCTGTATGGGAAAAATATGAATTATCTCAGGGCGGGAATCAGGGTCGCGGACGGTGGGTCTTACGTGCCTAGGAAGGAACGACAGGATGCCCCATTTCTGTCGATTGAGGATCCCCTGGACAAGGAAAATGATATCGGGAGGGTATCGTGGGCTGCTCAGATTGTGAAGGATGCGTTCGAGTATGCTTACTGGACATTGAGCAGAGCTGTCACTTCACTGACAGGTAAAAAGGAAGTTTAAAATTGTTTTTAAAACTGAAAAGTGCTCTGGAACCTTTTTCTAGGCCCTGGTGCAAAAATTAACTACAAAATAGCCTCTTAATTTCAGTTTTTAGAGTGTCAATGATCGCGGTGAAGACGCTTTTGCTTTTTAAGGTCGTTTGGTTTTTTTCAGGTAAGTCTTAAAAAATCGTTTACGCCAAATTTGACTTTTTTGATTTTTTGATTTCTGTTTGAGTTCACTTCAAATTCAATTTCAAAGGAAAAATCTGCACTATCGAACAGCATAAATGTAACAGTCGCGAAAAACGTAATTGAATTTAGATTCGAAGTTGGATTTTATTTTGCAGATTTCCAGTTGAATAGAAAAAATAAATCTTTTAACCCAAATGTCTCTAGCTGGGATAGTTCATGAACTAAGAAGGTGGCCATTGTAAAAGATTCGTAAGACACAGAGACTTAACTTGATTTTCGTGTTTTTACGCTTGCAGTTAGCAAGCGTTGTCAAATCGAAATATAGACTTTTGTTTTGTCGGGCTTGTCTATTAAAATCATTTGGTATCTTTTTTCGTAATGAATTCAGGTTCGAAGCGTCCCCGGCACACTTGGTCTGGAGGTAACGAATACGCCTGCGACGTCAAAGGTCCTGGGTTTGAATCTGACCAGCACTTGTTTTTTTTTCAAACGGGAAATATTTCTTTTCAAAAAAGTAGCCGGCTTATTGTTTGTCTGCTTATGTTTTGTCGGCTTAGTTATCACATCTTAAATTTTTTTGTTGTATGCAGCTTTTTTTTGTAGTTTTTTTTATGTTTTCATTTACACTTTGTAGTTATACTAACCTTGACTTCGTATATTTTCCTTTTTTTTTACTTGAAAATTTGCAATGACTACAGCTGTTGAAAAGTTTCAATGGTATTCAGCATCTTACAGAGATTTTTGTTTTATTTTAGGAACACAAGTGAACAGTTTCTTGAGTAAAATCATCGAGATAAACGAGGAGACGCAAGATTACCGGAGATGGATCAACGACAAGTGGAAAGGCTGTGTTCCCGAAGACGAAGCACCCCCCTTCGCGCCCTACTTCACAAACTACGACAACAACTACAACCCCTACTTTTTTGCACAAACCACACCAAATATGCAGAATGCACATCATCATATTGTGTCCCAAAGCATGATGCCTAACGGTGCCATGCCCCACTCCTTAGCTCCGCCGAGGGGAATGCTCCCGTTCCACCCCTTCTTTTTGCACCACCCGGGAACTCTGCTGCCGCATCCCAACATAGCTGCTATCAATGCGCCAAGCGCTTATACAGCTCTTTCTACCTCAGCCAACGGGTATGAATTGCTAATTTAATCATTTCTTTTCATCCGTAGAATTGTTCGAGAACTTTCTAGAAGTTTCGATTTTTATTACAGCAGCAGCGTAACCGAAGGTGCCTCGAAGTCTTCAAGTAGTGCGCAATCGACTGCCAGTGATTCGGAAAACTCAGGGAATGGAGCCGAACAGTCGAGCAGCTACAGTTACGGGTCAAATGAGAACTCCCAGATTCACCCTAGTGTCGCGGTCACAATGACTAGCATAAACCCAATAAATAGCGTGGTGAACAAACGAACCTCGGAGCTGAACGGGATCTACAGAAACCGGGATGAAAAACGACAAGCTATCTCGGCAGGGCAAAGTGGTCCCAATATGGTAACGGGCCAGCAGCCAATGCCCAGATACTTGAGCAATAATAATAATAGCCAGGGTAACTTCTCAATGGAGAACAAACCTCCGCATCAGAACCAGGAGAGATATTACAATAGAAATCGTCAAAACCAAAACTGGTCCAGGCGACAAGGTAATTTTTATGCAATAATTACAGAATTTGTTGTTGTTCCTACAAATAAAAGTGGAGAGGAATTTCTTCGGGTGTTTAAGTTTTTATATATATATTTTTTTTCTACACAAAATCAGGTACCGCAAATAATCATATGAATGGGCCGAGTGATATATCATATTAAAGACCGTTCAGTCGTGTTCGAACGATATTACAAAATTTTCAAAAAGCCTACTCTATCTCGAGAAAAACTGGCGGATTGGAGTTTTTGGTTTTCTCCTGTAATTGTGAGTCAGCGGGCTAATGTTGTCGATTACACCTTTTTTACTATTATTATTACCCTTGAGATAAGCAAGGGTATTCAAATCTGACACTAGAGTTTTCACGCGAATAACTTTGTTCACAGGACTCATCTCTAGTTGACTTCTGGACTCATCTCTAGCAGTACCTTGTTTTCATAATTAATTCAAATTCTTTGCGTTCTCGGCCCATTTAGCCTGGAGGTAACAAATACGTTTGGGACGGCAAAGGTCCTGGGTTCGAATATGACCAGGATCTTTTTTTTTTCAAACGGGAAATATTCTGTTACGAATAAAATTGTCGCCAATTATTAGTTAGTTTATCTTTTGTCGGCTTAGTTGCCACATCTCGGAATCATTTTTTGCTGCGCGAGTTTTTTGTTTTTTCTTTTAAAATTTGCTTTAAGTGTTTGATTACGCTTGCGATTAGCAAGCGGTATCAAATCGGAATATAGAGTTTTTTCGGGTTTTTAACTAGTTTAACAAAGTCGTTGAATCTTTTATGATGCTGACATGCTCAATTTCATGAGAAAATTCAAATTTAACTACTGGGTGGGTACTAGTTACTACCGGTTAGCTTCAGTGTGGACATGAAACTTAACAAAGTTTTTAACGAAACGCGTTTTTTTTCGGCTCAACTGCTCTCTGCTCAAAAATTGTCGGCCTTGTTTCCGCTTGGTAACTTTTGTTCAATTGCTAATTTGAATTTCAAATTTCAGGGTTGGGTTTTTTTCTTTTTTTGAGACCCTTTGGAAAGTTTTATCATTTTTGAAAAACTTTTAGTTTTTTGTCACAAACCTTTTTACCGATTTGACTGAATTGATCTGACTGTTTGTAAACCGACTGGTTGCACTGTGTGACTTAGTGCAAGCTTGCCTATAAACTCATAATAGGAGGAGTTTCAGTATTGTTTCTTTTACCATGCCAAACATATGTTTTTTTTTCAGAGACCGAGCAGTAACTGCGCTCTCTGATGGAGAGCTTGACAAAAAAAAACTAGAAAAATTCATGCCAATCAAAGGCGTTTTTGCATTCTTCCGCAACACAATGAGCCATGGGAGGTTCCTTCTCAAGTCGATAAATAATCTAAGTTTAATTTACTGGTGTTCCACGGAAAGTCCATAGATTCAATTCCTGTTTCATAAAAACAGGCAATATGAAAATGTAGTCTTTATTTAGGGAAAAAGTTTAACCCATATTTTTGGTTTTTCTACTTTTTCTCGAAAACCGCTCGCCCAAAGCTGAGATTTTGGGTTCAATGGGTAGAATAGATTATAGGAAGCTTCCCTAATTAAAGAGCTTTCCCAAATTTTTTGCTCAAAAAGTTATGGCCCTCAGAATTCAAAGTTTCGATTTTTGACCGTATTTTCACTCTTCATTTTTTTTTCGAAAACTACCCTACCGAAACGAAGATTTTGGTTTCAATGGGTAGAAAAATTTGTCAAAAAATTCCTCGTATAATTAGTTGCGCTCAATTTTGTTACATAAAAAGATATAGCCCTCGGAAATTTCAAATTCTCGATTTTTCTTGAGTTTTTGATTTTTTAAATACTTTTCTCGAAATCTATCCTCCCGAATCTAAGATTTTGGTTTCACTGGGTAGAACAAGTTGTGAAAAAATTCTTCGTATAATCGGTTGCGCCCAATTTTGTTACATAAAAAGGCATAACCCTCGGAAAACAAAATTTTCGATTTTCGACTATTTTTTGAACCTTTTTGACTTTTCTCGAAAACTATCCTCCTGAATCTGAGAATTTAGTTTCAATGGGTGGAATGAAATGTGAAAAGCTTCCCTGCTTGAACGGTTACGCCCTATTGTTACGCCCTAATAAAAAGTTATGACCCTTTTGATCTTTGACCTTTTTTACGTTTGAGATTAGCTGAAATACAGTTTTTTTTTCGGGTTAACAACTTGATGAACAGAATCACTTGTACCTTGTTCCAAATTTAATTCAAATTCTTTGCGTTCGCGGTCCACTCAGCCTGGAGTTAATAAGTACGCCTGGGACGGCAAAGGTCCTGGGTTCGAATTTGACTGGATTTTTTTTTTCAAAGGGGAAATATTCTGTGTTCAAAGAAAACTGTCGCCAATTATTAGTCAGCTTATTTTTTATTTTTTTTTGCTGCGCAATATGAGATTTTTTTGGGTTATTATTTAGTTTAACAAAGTCAGTTTAATTTTTTATGATGCTGACTTGCTCAATTTCATGAGAAAATTCAAATTTAACTACTGGGTGGGTACTAGTTACTACAGGTTAGCTTCAGTGTGGACATGAAACTTCATAAAGTTTTTAACAAAACCCGTTTTTTTTCGGCTCAACTGCTCTCCGCTCAAAAATTGTCGGCCTTGTTTCCGCTTGGTAACTTTTGTTCAATTGCTTATTTGAATTTCAAATTTCAGGGTTGGTTTTTTTTTTCTTTTTTTGAGACCCTTTGGAAAGTTTTATCATTTTTGAAAAACTTTAGTTTTTTGTCACAAACCTTTTTACCGATTTGACTGAATTGATCTGACTGTTTGTAAACCGACTGGTTGCACTGTGTGACTTAGTGCAAGCTTGCCTATAAACTCATAATAGGAGGAGTTTCAGTATTGTTTCTTTTACCATCCCAAACATATGTTTTTTTTTCAGAGACCGAGCAGTAACTGCGCTCTCTGATGGAGAGCTTGACAAAAAAAACTAGAGAAATTCATGCCAATCAAAGGCGTTTTTGCATTCTTCCGGGGGGGGGGGGGGAGGGTGAGTTTATTCCATATTTTTGGTTTTTCTACGTTTTCTCGAAAACCGCTCACCCAAAGCTGAGATTTTGGGTTCAATGGGTAGAATAGATTGTAGGAAGCTTCCCTAATTAAAGAGCTATGCCGAAATTTTTTGCTCAAAAAGTTATGGCCCTCAGAAGTCAAAGTTTCGATTTTTGACCGTTTTTTCACACTTCATTTTTTTTTTCGTAAACTACCCTACCGAAACGAAGATTTTGGTTTCAATAGGTAGAAAAATTTGTGAAAATTTCCTCGTATAATTATTTGCGCTCAATTTTGTTACATAAAAAGTTATAGCCCTCGGAAATTTCAAATTCTCGATTTTTTTTGAGTTTTTGATTTTTTTTTACTTTTCTCGAAATCTATCCTCCCGAATCTGAGATTTTGGTTTCACTGGGTAGAACAAGTTGTGAAAAAATTCTTCGTATAATCGGTTGCGCCCAATTTTGTTACATAAAAAGGCATAACCCTCGGAAAACACAAATTTTCGATTTTTGACTATTTTTTGAAACTTTTTGACTTTTCTCGAAAACTATCCTCCTGAATCGGAGAATTTAGTTTCAATGGGTGGAATGAAATGTGAAAAGCTTCCCTGCTTAAACAGTTACGCCCTATTATTACGCCCTAATAAAAAGTTATGACCATTTTGATCTTTGACCTTTTTTATGTTTGAGAATAGCTGAAATAGTTTTTTTTTCGGGTTATTAACTTGTTGAACAGAATCACTTGTACCTTGTTCCAAATTTAGTTCAAATTCTTTGCGTTTTCGGTCCACCCAGCCTGGAGTTAATAAGTACGCCTGGGACGGCAAAGGTCCTGGGTTCGAATTTGACTGGATTTTTTTTTTCAAAGGGGAAATATTCTGTGTTAAGAAAAAACTATCGCCAATTATTAGTCAGCTTATTTTTTATCTGCTTTCTTGCCACATCTCGGAATCGTTTTTTTTTTGCTGCGCAATATGAGATTTTTTTGGGTTATTATTTAGTTTAACAAAGTCAGTTTAATTTTTTATGATGCTGACTTGCTCAATTTCATGAGAAAATTCAAATTTAACTGCTGGGTGGGTACTAGTTACTACAGGTTAGCTTCAGTGTGGACATGAAACTTCATAAAGTTTTTAACAAAACCCGTTTTTTTTCGGCTCAACTGCTCTCCGCTCAAAAATTGTCGGCCTTGTTTCCGCTTGGTAACTTTTGTTCAATTGCTTATTTGAATTTCAAATTTCAGGGTTGGTTTTTTTTTTCTTTTTTTGAGACCCTTTGGAAAGTTTTATCATTTTTGAAAAACTTTTAGTTTTTTGTCACAAACCTTTTTACCGATTTGACTGAATTGATCTGACTGTTTGTAAACCGACTGGTTGCACTGTGTGACTTAGTGCAAGCTTGCCTATAAACTCATAATAGGAGGAGTTTCAGTATTGTTTCTTTTACCATCCCAAACATATGTTTTTTTTTCAGAGACCGAGCAGTAACTGCGCTCTCTGATGGAGAGCTTGACAAAAAAAACTAGAGAAATTCATGCCAATCAAAGGCGTTTTTGCATTCTTCCGCAACACACTGAGCCATGGGAGGTTCCTTCTTAAGTCGATAAATAATCTAAGTTTAATTTACTGGGGTTCCACGGAAAGTCCATAGATTCAATTCCTGTTTGATAGGCAATATGAAAATGTAGGGGATCGGGAAATTTTATTTATTTTTGAAATTATTTTCTTGAGAAGCTTTGGAAATTTTTTAAAACTTTTTTCAAAAATTTAGTTGTTCTCAGAAACTGCTCTACCAAAAAAAATGGTAACAAAGGGAAGTCTGCCTACTCCCCTGTGTGCCTGCATAATTCCCTCGTTTCTCCTTTTTTAACTTAACTTACTTCACACAGACTTCGAAAAGTGGGGGGGGGGGAGGGGGAGTTTATTCCATATTTTTGGTTTTTCTACGTTTTCTCGAAAACCGCTCACCCAAAGCTGAGAT